TCCACTCTCATGTACAGATCTGATTCGAGGCTCATGTCCAGCTATTTCAGTCTGTAAGGTAAAAGACCAAAAACCTTAATTATCATAATAATAACAAATCTAACAATACACTCAATTGAAGAATCGCTATCGGGTTCAGAAACATAGAACATAAAAGGTGAGACCGAAATGGCACATGGGAAATGACATAATTATATTATAATTTATTCATTTGCGCCATCCATGCAGTCGGTTTAGAATGCCAAACGCGTATTAAAGAACAGTGGATGATGCCACGGATCGCTCGTCACAGCATGCATCTAATTAACATACTTCCCATGTGCCCTTTCATTATCAGCTTCTATGTTCTATGTTTCTGAACCCGACAACGATTCTTCTATTGAGTGTATACAAAAGAGGTATTTACAGGAACCTAATACAGTCAAACTCACTCATTCATTCCTATCGTGGTTTAAAGATTCAGTTCATTATTCAAAGTTGGATTTCCATCTTGTTTGGAAACTTGCATTAATGTCTCAGGACCACAAAACACCCTTTTTCCCCTCTATCTCAGTCAATAAGTGTTAATTGTTTTACAATTGCCAACTACTTACCATAAGCGCATGGTGTTTTTTGGACAGGTTYTGTGCACCAAAAAGATCTTTCCCTACAAGTTAAGCAGACATTAGTTATCCTGTATACCAATCCACAACTACACAAGTTTACAGTATAGCGGAATTTCACTTCAATTGACAATAGATATTGACTTCAATACACAAAAACCACAAAGCACCTTTAATTTCAATGATAGAAATAATAATAATAATGTTGTACGATAGATCAATGCCATGGTCAAGTTAAATGGCTGCTGTTTAACAGTCATCATCATCATCATCGTCTTCAACATCATCAACATCATCATGAACATCAACATCATTACAACATCATCATTATCATCATCATCATCACCACCATAATAAAGCTATTTACCAGTGTTGGTGGACGAAACAAGAGGCTCTTTTTCACGGATCCATGCGAGTTCATCTT